TACGAAAAGTTCTGTTTTTCAAGGATAATAATGTATATGTATATATATGTATATAAGTGTGTACATATTTCATTAACATTGATACATTTTCTCCTATTGACAATTTTATTTTATCATTGAGAAGCAATTTTGAACTGCACGGTGGCCGAGCCCACAAGAATTAATTTTCTTTTTTTGGTCTCCGAATCATTCATGCTTTTGTTTTGTTTGATTGAATAAAAGTGATTTGATTGATTTGATTTGATACATTGATGTTTGACGGTTCAGTGTCACTCATCATGTTTTGGTTTTAACATACATACATACATACATACATACAATATACAATACAATACAATATATTTTATTTGACCTCAAAAAAAAACATAAAATTAAGATACAGGATGACTGTGAGGAGTCCGCATGTGACTCATCGAGCACAGCCACCTTTACAAGAAATTTCTAATTAATAATATCAATCATGAGACGAGATGAGTTAGTATGTTTGATGTGTCAATGATTACAAGTATGTATGAATAAATGTGAATGAGTGTGAAAGAATGTGAAAGAGTATGAATGAGTGTGAATGATGAAAACATTAGATGATTATACTGAAGCGTTCAGTAAAATATTTTTCAGTTTTTTTCTAAATGTTGCCTTCACTTTTGTATATAAAACAGAATTTAAATCAAAATTAATTATCAAATTATTCCATATCCGTGGTCCGTTGCATAAAATATGAAAAAATAAAATGTTTGTTTTCGATTTATTGCAACGAATTATGTTTCTGTGCCTATTTGTCAAAACAAAGTTATAATAATCACAAAAAACTTTGGGTAGCAGTCCTGCGTAATGTTTGAAAACAAAAGTAGCACAGTGATACATGTGAAGATTTCTGAAGTTTAAGTTGCTTGTTGAGAGAAATAAAATGTTTGTTGACGCATTGTATTTTGAGCAGGTGATGATTCTCATTCCTTTTTTCATGAGCATTTGCAACGGTTGTGTTAACGAGGGATAAGTTGATGCCCAGATGATGTTACAGTAGACGAGGTGAGGAAGGCATATTGAATTGTACAATAAATTTAGAGAGCGTCTTGGTAGAAAGAATTTGATTCTGTTGATGGCG